TTTTTATTGACCGTCTGTACAATGAATTTCGCGCGGAAGGACCGTGATAACGTAGGGAAAAAGCTGCAATATGTTCTGCAAGAAGGTAAGACTCATGAGGAGAACGAGTTTGGAGCTAAGAGACCGTGCCGAAAAGGGAGTCAGCTGAGGTGGTAGGACAGTCTGACAGTTGATGGTACGTGAAGATCAACGACTTGGGCGATAGATGATAATGAAAGGAAACCGAATATCGTAGCGGATCTCCGAGAATTCGTCGGGAAAACGTCGAAAATCTGCAGAAATTGGCGTGAATTTTCACCATGTGCTGCCATCTGGCCTCTGACATTAGGCCCGTTCGGCTAGAGGAGCTCGCGAGACACGTCCCGTGTTAAAAGGACGTACCCCGCGGCTCGACGGTCCCACGGACGTCGTCGCGGGTCGCCGCGGACCCTTAGCGAATGTTCTCGCGTGCTCGACGCGGCCCAGAAATCGCTCGGCGCAGCGGTAGACCCGCGTAATCTCAGCGCGGTCGCCCGTCCCGCGGGCTGACTTGCTGCTCCGAGCACGTACGTACCTTCATGTCGACTCATTTTTCGTTTAAAATTCTCATATACGCCGAACTACGCGAACCCCTCGCGATCGTAGACTCTGCGAGACACGACCGTCGACCGTCGTTACGTGGGCACCTTGGCGTCGCTCGGTTACGGATCGACACGACACGGGGAAAACATCAATCGTCAAACAAAAAATTTGTCGTTAGAATTTCCAGCGTAAAACCTAACCCAACTAGGCTGACGAACGTGACGTCACGCTAGACTCTCCTCCCGGAGATTTCGATGGAAGTTGAGCGCCACCGGCGCCGCCTATCGGTCCACCGCACAATCGCCGTGAATATTGCTGCGAATCCGACGCTATATTTGAGGGAGATATGAATTTTGCGCAATTTTTCAAGGGCAGTTTCTTTTCATTCCTCTCTTTAAACGAATATCAAATTATCAATTAACTTTATGTCAGTTTTTATCAACACAGATTAACTTTAATCTCAGTTCAACTTAAAGCGACTTAATTCTTTTTTATCTAATTTTTAACTAAAAAAAGACAAAAAATTAATTAAACCGAGATTATAAGATTAATCTACATTGAAAAAAATGGGCTCTAATTATCTAGAAAATAAAAAAATTCTATGTATTTAATTTATTGTGAATAAAGGATTTTTTTTAATTTATTGTATAATAGAGATCGCGTATAGGTCGGTACAAAAGTTCTTGCCATGCGGTTACATATATATATGTTTTAGTACGACTTTATCGGCAAAAATGTTTATGATTTGTGTAAGTCGGCATCTCTGCATTAATAACAGTTGTACACGATAAATCATAGATATTAAAAAATATAGCCTTACATTTATAATATATTACGATTAAAAATGGAGCCGGATAAAGAGCATATTCGCCTCTGCCTTTTGTTTTGTTTCTACCAAAAGAAAGTGTTGCTAAAATGCACACAGAATTATTTGAAAACAAAATTTTGCTTCGTATCGATGATACGATTTTTCTGATTGGTTGCAGAGAGTCGTCGTACGACAAAAATCGGATGCAGGGTGAATCCAGCATATGAATGACAAAAAAATATTTGTGATACAAAAATTTACGAACGACTTTAGAATTCCCTTAATTATCGTTGCGCAATTTTTTTTCTACTTTTTTCCGTTTTAAAAAAAAAAAACGTTTGCGTCACTAATGATATCTCGACGAAATGAAAATGAAATACTCGGACGACTATCTATGAAATAAACACATAGTTCATGACAAAATCCAGCGATCCTTTCCGGAACGACGAAACTTTCCGAAAGTCGTTTCGCGCGGCCTCGTGCGTACTCGTATTTTTCCGTCGATAATCGCGTAACTCCAGAATCCAGAACAGTATCACAAAATCGTATCATAAAGCGAACAATGGCCGCAGTACTCGGACGTGTGATTGTGTACGGGGGCAAAGGTGCCCTCGGCTCAGCCTGCGTATCACAATTTAAATCGCAAAATTGGGTGAGTAAGGGGGACTTATAAGTGTTGTTATCTCTGCATTCAATGGACCTAATCAGAATTCGATTAAGAATTCGCGCGGCTGTTTAGCAGTAGATCTTATTGATCACATAGAATTTGATTAGAGGTTTCTGCTCCCGACGTCCTATTAAATACTTTTATAAATATATGAAGAAAGGACGTTTATGTATATATATATATATATATATGTATATATATATTAACATGTATGGTATATGTATACAAAAGAATATGAATAACATATCAAATAATTAGAACGTAAAAAAAAAATTAGAACGATCACGCTAAAGTGTGATTGAGTTTTATCATTCGATTTATCGGTGACTTTTGCCCGTTTGTTCCATAAATCTTCCTTTAATATTTACGCCTGTTTTAATCTTTCTTACCACAAAACTTGTCGCAATAAAATTTTTCTGTGGTATGTAATTTACGTGGAATTTAATTAAGTGCATATCGAACGCTGAATGGAAATCTCATATTATTTGATTTGAATGACAGTCGATTGAGTCGATTGTTTCTTTTTCAATTTTCTCGGTTTAATCTGTAGCGGATTAAATATTTTGCAGAGTAATTCTAGATTATATACTTAAATTTCTATTAATTTTATTATTTATTTAATTTTTACATTGCAAAAGTACACATTTTATGCAGTTGTATTTATGTAATAATAATAAATAAAAATATTATTTTAATATGTGATTTGTAATAATTTGTAGATTTTTCAATTTAATTGAAATTATATATTTTTTTAATTTTTTTTCTTCAGATGTTATATACAGTAGATGTTATCTGAAGGATGTTATATAAAAACTAAATGTACCAAGGTTACTATTAGTCAGGCAAGTCCTTTCACAAAGCCTTCTAGAAGCAGTTTACCTCTACTGTATATACATTTAGATAAATCATGTTTTATATTGAAAAACAATTTTATATAAATATATTTATTACGTCCTAATTATTTTATAAATTATTTTATAAATACAAATGTCATTTATATTATTGATTGTGTATAAGAACTATATAATTATAAAATATTTTTATAATATTATTTATTTATTGATATCTCAAATAAAATATTATTTTTGTTTACAATTATAAATTTATTATAAATTTTATTTTGATGCAGTGTGTTATTATAATTTTTAATGCTTATTATAATTTTTAGTGGGTTGGCTCCATTGACATGAAGCCAAACGAGCAAGCAGATGCAAATATGATTGTAAATCCCGATAATAATTGGCAGCACCAGGTAATTTTTTATTGCTTACATTTTTATCATGAATCTTTTTATTACACAATAGGTATTAATTATAATTTCTTGTTATATAGCAAACAGAAATCTTGACTCAAGTTAAAGATATATTGAAAAACGAAAAAGTCGATGGCATTATTTGTGTGGCTGGGGGATGGGCCGGTGGTAATGCGGCGCATAAAGATTTTATACAAAACAGCGATTTGATGTGGAAACAAAGTGTTTGGAGTTCCACTATAGCTGCCAGTATTGCGGCTGAATATTTGAAGGAAGGAGGATTCCTTTCTTTGACTGGTGCTAAACCGGCGTTAGAAGGAACACCAGGTGTCTTTGATGAATGATAATATAAAATATGTATTGTATATCTTTGTATATTTCGCTAAAAGATTAATTCTGTTTGATTATTAGGTATGATTGGTTATGGTATGGCAAAGGCAGCTGTTCATCAATTGACGAAATCTTTGGCAGCTAAAGATAGCGGTCTTCCTTCCAACAGTTTGGTAGCTTGCATACTACCTGTTACTTTAGATACGCCAATGAACAGGAAGTGGATGCCTAAAGCTGATACGAGCACGTGGACTACACTCGAGTTTGTGTCCAAGTAAGATAAAACATTTACAATTTTTTATCAAATTAATATTTTTTAATTTCTGTTATAAAATAAAACATTTGTTTATAGTTTATTCTGGAAATGGTCTCAAAATCAAGATCGGCCTGCTAACGGTTCTCTCCTGCAACTTATTACTAAGGATAATAAAACGGAGTTGATCGCAGCTTAAAGATATCAAATGAATAAAATTCATATGGGAACAAAGATCTTGGAGCATTTATGACAATATGATATACCTCGTTATTACAATATATATATATATATATATCTCATTTATTGTTACATAAAGAAGGAGATATGTTCAGGGATGGCGAGATCTTCGAAAGTTTTATTTTTGTATCAAGAATCAATGCTTTTGATATTTTTAAACGTACATTCCAACATTATATATTTTTGTATATTATATACGTAAGTCGTTTAATTATTTAAAGAAACTGATAATTCTTATGCTTGTGTGTATATTACATATCTGTTATTGTTGTGGATGTGTAGACTATATATACATATACTATATTAAATGTTGCAAAAACAAAAAAAGAAAAATCTTAAAGCATTATAAATTGTTTTCCTTGTAGATTTCTTCTCCTCGTTGAACTTCGCAAGTATAATTAAATATTTTATTGTAATTTTCGAAGATTTATTTTTTCTCAAGAAAATTTTAATATATATTTTAATATATCTTATTATTTAAAAAAGGTTTAATATTAAATATTAAAAATTAATATAAATTGTTTTGAAAAAGATTTTATGATTTATTATTAACTTTTAAATAATTAAATTATATTTTTTGTTAAAAAAAATGTCAAGTTTGTTAATACTAAGATAAATACTTTTATACTCACAGTAACTAACACATTTAAAAAAAGTATGATATCAGCCCGGATAGCTCAGTCGGTAGAGCATCAGACTTTTAATCTGAGGGTCCAGGGTTCGAGTCCCTGTTCGGGCGTTTTTTTTTTACTCGAAAGAGGATGTATTCTGCAGTAATTATAATTTGAATAATCTTAATTATAATACGTAATAGCACATGTTTTATACTGAAATATATTTTTACCATACATCTCATATTATTCATACATGTTTTGCAAATTATACATAATTTATAATTTTTAAACAGATCTTTATTTGTTATTTTTGTACAATAAAAGAATTTATCATCTGTGACTGTGACAATGATGTTAAAGCAACAAGTCGACTAGTTCTATAGATACATACAAATAATTCAGTATTTCGTGTGTGTGTGTGTGTGTGACATACATTTTATATATTTATATATATATATATACTAACGCCAAACAAATTATGTTTATGTTGCCTTTGGTGGGTTGAAATATTCGTCCAACATTTTTTCTTCAGCTGAAAAAAAAAAAAAGGGTTCAGATTTATGATACATTTTCAAACTACATTATAATACATTTACATATATAACATAATTTTAATCTTTAAACTATAAATACTATTTTTTAATCTCACTTTATAACCAATGGAAAGTTCTTTGGCAGAATTTTATTTTTGATTGTGATTTAAAAAACGATAAAAAAGATTTATAAAAAATCAAATTGATGGAAAAACTGATTAAAGGCATTTAACAGTTCTATAAAACGTTTTTTAGGCAATAAGATTTAATTGATTTAATATTATGAAGTAAAAGATTTCTGGCAAAAGTAAATATGTAAGTCATATATAATAAGATAAGAAACAGAATTAAAAAAAGACATTCACTTTTTAAAAATTCTTTTTGTTATTCTAATTTATACTTTCTGAAAGATTTATTTACACTTTTGTCATTATGTCCTTATATTTGACTTATGCTCATATTTTTATTCTTATCAGGGATCTTAGGACATTTTTATATTTATGTATGCAATCAAATACTTTACCCATTACAGCAAGTCTTCTTTCCTCAGCTAGCTTGGCATCACGCATAGGTTTAAGTCTCAGCTCTTCTGCTCTACGAGCATCTTCTCTTCTCTTCAATCTTCTTTGATGGTACGCACCATAAGCAATTCCAGTAAGGAGCAGACTCCAGCGGCAAAACTACAAAGTATAAATATGTACATTTTTTTAATTAAAAACAAAGATTTTATTCATATATTCTAATGTTTATAAAAAAAGAAATTAACATATTCACTAATTTGATAAGTGTTATTTCTGAAAGTTGAAAGCGAAATTTAATTCATTAAATAGCAGACAGCCAAAAATCAGTTATGAAACTAATTTCGAACATTTACTTGGTGCAGAACAAAATATTTTAAATTTCTTTAAGGTTAGAAAATCAAGGGGTGATGTATTTAAAGAATCCCTTCAATGAAAATCAAATACACGAGCTACCGTGATAACGATAACCGTTGTCACCAAAATTATTTTTTTTATATGAATTTATTAATTTTAAATACCTTCACACAAAACAATAAATAAATTATGTAATAAAATGAATTTGAGATGGAGAGAACTCAGTTAGACAGTCGAGAAGAACATTGTTTTGCCGTGAAATAAAATATACAGCGACACGCAGGATTATATGCAATGACTGAACGTTTCAAGAGAAACTGTTCCTCTTACCTTAATGAAAGGAGAAACTCGCAAAGGTTTCGGATTCAACTCGACAGCCGACATCTTGCTGTGGCAGATAACTTGTCTTATGACGTGAGGTGAAGTGTTTTGTGATACAAAGTGCGCGAATTTCGAGAATACCGTCTCGTTCGACAAGTTCGTTTTTTGTAGCTGCACTGCTACATTTTCTGCATTTAAATTAGGTATTAAACGTATATAATTAGATATCGAAGAGGAAAAAAGAAAAATGCACCGTAAAAAAGTGCACCAAGAACTAATATGATATTTTAATTACAGAGTCTTATTTTTTAGAATTGTGATATTTTTTTATCGGAATTAATTAAAATTGAATCAATAGATAATATAACAATAATGGAAAATATAATAATAATATTATAATATTTTCCATTACTATATTAATAATTAAGATTTCAATTTATATAATTTCTTTTCGTTCTTAGTGTAAACTTCACCTTACAGACATATGTAATAATAATTTTCGTTCTTAGTGTAAACTTCACCTTACAGACATATGTAATAATACGTTTATTTTATAATCCTAGAAAGAGGATTTTCGAATCTGTAAAAGAAGAAAAAAGTAATTGTTATATTGTTATACGAAAATTATTGTAATTTAAAAATTATTGCATTTAGGGACGATTGTTCCATCTTTTGATAAAGTTTATCTGTTACTCTGTTAGGTAATTAATATAAGATTATCCAATATCACGTGTGCGCGGATTGCCAGATTTACTTAACAGGTAACCTTTATCGAAAGATGGAACAATCGGCCCTTAATCGGTAAAACAGACAACTTTAGGGGCCCCTCTTATATGTGGGACTTGTCCAGCTTGTTCTTGTCAGTTGTATCATTTAAATTACATTCTTGGAATCTTCATCGAATTGTATGTACATGTATGAATTGTATGTACTTAACAGAAATATTAGGCTTATTTTTAATTTTATTTGATAACTTTTTGTAAAACGTATGTTTTACAGAACCACTAATACTGATTATCGTGTGATCGTAATCATGATATTGGGCGAGTTCAAGACGGCAAAGCGGCTAGGTATACGCTTGTCGAGCGATTGAACATATAATTGGTTATTACTTATAGATCCAACCAATCATATTCACCCATTGACTGCATTCAGCAGACTCAACGCTTGAGTGAACGCGGTTTCTCTCTGGTGAACGCTTGCTACTATCGATATATTCTTCTAACTAAATAAAAAATTTATGATTGGTTGTTGCTTCGCCGCTGTTTGAACGCAACCAATTCTTGACAAGGCTTGACTTTTCATTTGTAGATGGCGCATTACACGCCTGGAAGAATTCTAGCGAGGAGAGTCTCATCTCATTTAAATTGCCTTCCCTGAATCCCCCTCCACGACGATGGTTTTGAGCGAAAGAAAAAAACGGCTCGGTGGCGGTGACGGCACTGACGGCGGTGTTCGGATACTCCGGAATACTCCGGATTGTTCGGATCGGAGCTCGTGGCAGTGAGCAAAATGGCGTCGTTGTGGACGGTGATGTCAGTCGCGTTCTCGTTGCTACTGATACCTTTCTTTATGCTACTGTTGGCTATCATATTCCTCGCGTCCATCGGCAAGTCCCTTGGTGTGCGTAGGCTGTACATCAAGCTACTACTGGCCCTTTTCGAGGTGAGTTCTCAAATTTCGTAAGCCTTGTTCTTCCGTCAACGAAATAAACCGGCGCGCTCCTAATGGTCATTTCTTGCGTACGAATCGTGTGTCTGGCAACGTCCGGCGATGTCACGCTCTTCTTCACGCGATTGTTTCTCGCCTCGTCTCTCGCCGGAAGAGACCGTTTCCTGGACACATCGATGCTTTTTGCGGCACGTGCGTCGCATCGGAGGAAAGCAAATCGGATAACCTTACGCGTCATTGCGTTAGTCGCGTCTCGCGTAAAATATACGATTGACGACGCTAAATGTCTTCGTGTTACTTTTGACATCTCCACAAATTTTTGCACTTAAAATCAGACAAATATTCTCATAATCCTTCGGAGTGGAATTTATTCACCCTGTACGTAGAGTGAAAATTGATTGAGTTAGTCTTTGAAAAGAGTTTTCAGTCAATTTTCAATCTTTAAGAATGAGTTTTTATTCTTCAGAGTTAGATTCACTCTAAAAGTTTTAGAAAATATATTATTCAAGCGCTGCTGGAAAGAAAGAAAGAAGCAAAGATTCGGAGTGTAAGAAATATAAGCGATTGGATTTAAGGTGCTTCTACATATTTTGCAAATCGCAAAACGTAGTTCGCAAATGTTGACGCTGAATGACGATCACCGTATGTGTAAGATACACACGGATGAAGAAAATGAACTAATCGCATGCAGTGAAAAAACAAATACTAATCTTCATTCTGCATCTGCGAACTACGATTTGCGAATTACGTAGAGACACCTTCCATTGTCGAGCATTACCGATTTCGCAGACGCCGAGAAAGAAGAATCGGATCTGTTATTTCTTTCCTTTTTAATTCGATACTCAGAAAATACAGAATTCTTTGATGGACTACGACAGTGAATTTCTAGTCTACGAAAACGGATGCTATGATTCAGGTGTTTTTTGTGGATCACAAATTAGTGCGTGCGACAATCTTTTGAACTTTGTACATGTACTCATTTGTGTTTGATGATCGCGACATCAAAGTACACTTGAAACGAAGCATTTTTATCAATGCTACGCGTGAGCTTGATTTATTTTTAAACGAAATAAGTCCGTGAAAAAGGAGTTTCTATCGAATGATTGATCGTTTTTGTACACGTGAATTGGAAGTAATAAATTTCGGTGTCTCTATTTCCAATTTACATATATTAATTTTAATTTCAATTCAACTTATTTATCGTCTCATTTTTAGGTCTGTCCGTCTGTAATCTACATTCTTGTAGAATACAAATTAACAATGACGTTACATAAATATTATAACTGTATAATGTAACACATGTTGTACATAACAGTTATATTATTGAGTAGAAAATTATAATATTGATGTAATGAGTGTGTGTGTGTGTGTGCGTGTATCTCTGTTAGTTTATATTTTGCGGGTTGTTAATAGTTAAATATCAAAGGAGCTATGGTAATCCAATTCTTTGAATTAAATAAAATTTTGATATTTTTAACTTTCATCTGTAAATCAACCTATTTCCGTGGTTAATTTTAAAGTAAATATCGTCTATATTAAATACATATGCATTTAGTAAGTAATAAACAAACTCTAAGGCAAATTGAACATATATTTTCTCGAGTTTAACTTTAAATAAAAATTTTGATCAAATTAACGTTACATTAGGTAATGGTGGCGATTTTATAAATGATTAAAAATAACTCAAATTAGGTATTATGAATTTATAACAGTTTGGATTCTTTTTGTTCAATCTGAGTTTTTTTTACCGTTCTTATTTTTTATCTTATTTATTATCTTTAAAAAAAAATTCAGCATTACTTTTTATCATCTTTGTTACATTACTAGATAGTAAATACTTTTACTTTAAATGTTAAAACTTGTATTTAATCAAATTAAAACTTCAGAAAAAATGAACTTTTCTTATGTCAAAAAAGGCCCAGATTGCAGACGGAGGGTTAATCTCGGTTTAACTTATTTCATCTTTTTCTAATTTTTTTCTTAGAATTGAAATAAAATTTAAAAAAAAATGCGTTGAATCGAGATTAAAGTTAATCTTATATTGATGAAGTCGGGCTTAATAAGAATTAGAAAAAATGAAGAGTAAATTGAATTGAGATTAAAGTTAGTCTCTCTATACATTGTGTATAAAACACAAACCGGAAACATTCTTGTATAGATACTGATGAAATATTGTGTATAGTTTTTCAATGCGCGGAGAAGAAATGCAGAAGCGTCCCAACTTTTCATCTCGGACACTTACCGTTAAAAAAAAGTTCTAATCAGTACGATGTAATTTTGAAACGGGATTCGTGAATCTAACAATTTACAAAGTCTTCTTAGATTGTACGATAATTATTTTTTATTTCTATTTCAAATTATTTTATATTTAAATGCGATCCGTTTAACGTTTAGTTTAACGCTAAGTGCATAATGTAACTTAATAATTAAAATGTTATTTGAAATAATTTAATGAGATCTTTTCCTGAGACCGTTTTTATCAAAAAAATTATTCTATTTGCATTGTTAATAATTGCATAAACTATAATACACAATCATCATAAGTACCTACTTCGAAATTAAACTTTCAAATTTAATTTCAAAGTCAGATTATTTTTTCTTATTAAGATTTATGATAATTAAGAGCTAATTAATTTTCTAAACGTGATCGACATGTGTATTGGAGATGTATAAAGGGACAATTACGTATGTAATTAGTAAGATTATTGAATTTTTTAAAACATCCAGCGTTGGTTTTTTATGCTTTTTAGTATTGAAATTGATTTATCCATAAAGCCTTGTTTTATATAATTTACATATATAATTAATATCTACACATATAATAAAACCGTTTATAATTAATACAAAAATATATAAGAATACATAAGAGACGTGTATTGAATGAAAAATCTAGAAATAATACATAAATATAGATATAATTATATAAGGAATATTTATCGAATCTAAGTATTTATTATACAATTTTATAAACGATTTTTTTTACTAATTTAAAAAAATGTATTTTTCTTTAAAAGTTTAATAAAAGACTTTTTGTCGATAGTTTTACAAAAGTTGCTGCACAATTAATTCGATCAAAAAGAATATTGTTTCTCTATTATGGTATATTCATTTTAATAATAATTTTTATTGGTATTTTTAATATGCAAGTACATGCTCGAGAAAACTACTTATAGATATTGATTACCTACACGTTATTTCGATAAACATCTTTTTCTTTGTTTATTGTATTTTTTATGAACCGTACATGATTCTAAATATGATCGAAGTCTTCGTTTTAAAATTTTCTGTGATCTAAGACAGTATTGAATAATTTTAAATAGTTTACTGTGATAAAAATGGAGATAAAAATGTCAGTTGTAGGATAAGGAAACAGTTGAATATTGGATTATAATCAACAAATAGTAGCGGCAACATTGCAAAG